CTGGCGCTGGCGCTGCTGTCGGCGCTCTTCGTGCTCAGCGTGGCGCTGGCCGTGCTGGCGCGGCTGCGCCGGGCCGGGCCGCCCGCCGTGCTGCGCTGCCTGGGCGCGCAGCGCTTCTCGCTGGCCGGCGCCGCCTTCCCGCCCGACTTCTGCGAGGGCACCTTGCCCTACTCCTACAACCTGTGCGTGTCCGCGCCGGCCCGCGCCGCCGCCGAGGCCGCTTGGCCGCCGCCGCCGCTGCCCATCCTGCCCGCCGGGGAGCCCTGCGACAAGCCGAGCCCGAGCAGCAGCGCCGTGGCGGGAGAACCGCCCACCGACCCCGACGCACCGCAGGTGGGTAAACCCCTTCACTCCTTCTCTCTGACCTTTTTGTAAGGTTATGCAGATGGCAGTGGGCTCTTGGGGTTTGTGTTCTGGTGCAGCTAGTGCCTATCCCTTTTCCGTAGGCGAGGGTAATAACTACCCAGTTTTAGGCAGCAGGCCTTGCTAAGCTGCACTTCTTGCCTCATGAAATTCACTGATGTCGGCTTATTTGGGAGGCTCTTGTCGTTCAACTTATGTTGCATAAAACCGTGGAGGACCTGTATAGTTCTGCTTCTAGGTTGTGCTCTCCTTAGTTTTCCTCTCAGAGCAGTAAAGTAGTGACTCTTTGTTCAACTGCTCAGGTCTTTCTGCAGACCTTGTATTGTGTGAAATACTATGGGTTAATAACGATGTAGGTGGTTACTTAGAAAGCCATCTGATAATTCCACATGGTGGAGTTGGCAATAGGATTGACACTCAGTACTAAGATTTTTCCTTCCTAATCCTTCTTGACCATGTAGATGCACTGCGACCTTTTTATTATTTCGGAGTTTAAGGAAACTTGCTAGATGAAGGAAGAGTTCTTCTTTCCTAAGGAATATGCCTACCTTCCATCCTGTGCCATCACAGTTTTTGGTCTAAATGGGCTACAGAAATGGCGAGCTATAGTGAGATCAGTTCATTTTATCAGAACTTTATTTCTTTGTTCTCTTTCTGCGACTATTTCTCATTCAGAGCTTGGTGGTTCCTTCCTATTTACCATTCTGCAGCTGACTTTATTACGGAGAGATTGAATGTGATCTAAAAAATGCTGAATAGCATCTCTCTCTAAGGCTGTGGTCAAGAATGGAGCACTAAGCTGTATACAAAAGCAGGGCCTTACGTTTAGGATGTAATGGAAAAATCGGAAGTAGTTGTTGGAGGAGAGCAATGTAGGCTGATTCAGAGCCGCCTCGGATGTGCAAGTGAAAAGTAAAAAGCAGAGAGGGAAGGGCAGGCCATAGAATCTCTGCTTTTGAGGAGGGGCCTTAATAGCTGCTATATGCAATTGCTATGGGCATGGGAATCTACTGTGGCTGGAGGTTTTTCTATATTGACGCTCGGTGAGGAAAAATTAGAGAACGAATGACACAAAACCTGTGCGTTTGCAAGGGAAGATGCTGTGCTTTCCTGCCATAGATTAGTAGGTTTGTAATACTCTGCACGTCATATTAAGAGAACTTTGTATGTAGAGATTATCACAGTCACATGAATATTTTCCTGCGCGGTAGAAAGAACGTAACGTCAGGTCTCCGCTATACTGGACCCGACATTTTAGTAGCGACTGTCCCGTGTTTTTGAGTTTCCCATGGGCAAGGCAGGGCGATCATCTCTCGGCAGCGCTCGGTGCCTGCAGTGCCGGGAGGAGGCTGCGGGCGCCGCTGTTGACCGAGAGGAGCGAGAGGAAGGTCGGAGCGCTGCAGCCCCGCCCGCTGCGGACCGGCTCGATAGTTGGATCGCTGGATTCCTGGGTCTGAAAGGGGTCGGTTTCCGATCGTCCCGTGGTGCGGATCTGTGCTACAGTGAGGCGGAGGGGCTGGTGGGGGAGGCCGAAAGCGGCAAGTCGGAACGGGAGCAGGAGCCGGGTCATTTATCGGCGGCAGTGATTTGCCGGCAGTGTTGCGGTGCCGGCGGTGTTGCGGCTGCGATGTGCTCGGCGGGGAGGCGCTGGGACCGGCGGCAGCGAGTCCTGCTCTGGGGCGTCCTGCTGGCGGCCTGGGAGGCGGCGTGGGGGCAGCTCCGCTACTCGGTGCCCGAGGAGATGCCCAAGGGCTCATTCGTGGGCGACGTGGCCAAAGACCTGGGGCTGCAGCACTTGGAGCTCGGCGACCGCCGAGTCCGTATCCTGGACAAAGGCAGGACGCAGTATTTCGCTCTACATGGGAAGACGGGACATTTAGTGACGGCCGAGAGGATCGACAGAGAGCAGCTGTGCCGGCTGGTGGAGCAATGCGTGCTGCGCTGTGAGCTGATGGTAGAGGAAAAGATGCAGGTTTACGAAATCGAGGTAGTAATCACGGACATTAACGACAACGCACCCAGCTTCCGAGAAGAAGAAACACAGCTGAGAATAAGCGAGACGACAACCCCTGGATCGAGATTTCCGCTTCCCAGGGCTCACGATCCGGACTCTGGACAGAATTCCCTGCAGAGCTACGAGCTGAGCGGCGACGAGCACTTCTCGCTGGCCGTGCAGACGGGCCCCGGCGGGGATCAGCGTCCCGAGCTGGTGCTGGCAAAGGCGCTGGACCGGGAGGAGGCGGCGTTCCACGAGCTGGTGCTGAGGGCGATGGACGGCGGCGATCCGACCCGGACGGGCACGGCGCGGATCCGCGTGACGGTGGTGGACGCGAACGACAACGCGCCCGTGTTCAGCCAGGCGGAGTACACAGTGCGTGTGGCGGAGGACGTGCCCGTGGGCTCCGTCCTCGTCACAGTCACGGCCAGCGACGCTGACGAGGGATTGAATGGGGACATAAAATATTCGATGAAGAAAACAACGCACTCGGATTCGGATATTTTCTATCTAGACTCTGATACTGGAGCCATCACGCTGTTGCGGAGCCTGGATTTCGAGGAAGGCGATTCCTACGAACTGGAGGTGCAGGCACATGATGGTGGAGCACTTTTTGACACGACAAGAGTTGCAATCTCCGTGACAGATGTAAATGACAACGTTCCCGAAATGACAGTATCATCAGCGCTGAGTGAGATTTCTGAGGACGCCCCATCAGGAACGGTGGTGGCCCTGCTGCACGTGCATGACCGCGACTCGGGGGCCAACGGCGAGGTGCGCTGCTCCCTCGACGGGAATGTCCCGTTCCGCCTGGAGAAGTCCCTCGAGGACTACTACCGCGTGGTGACAGCGAGAGAGCTGGACCGGGAGCAGCAGTCGGAGTACAACGTGACGGTGCGGGCATCCGACGGCGGGTGGCCGGCGCTGCAGAGCAGCAGGGTGCTGGCGCTGCGGGTGCTGGACGTGAACGACAACGCGCCGGTGTTCTCGCAGGAGCGCTACAGCGCGCGTCTGCGGGAGAACAACGCGGCGGGCGCGCTGGTGCTGGTGGTGCGGGCGACGGACGCCGACTGGGGTGGGAACGCGCGCGTGCGGTACCGGC